GCCCCCTCGCCTCTGGCAAGGAGCTTCTCGGATCTCTGCTTGGGAGCCGAGCTTGCGCTTTCTAATTTCACTGCATTCAGTTTTGATCGTTTTTTATTTGCATTGTTGTAGTCATTGGGTATATTGTTTTCCTGACTCTGCTTATGTCACTTTGTATCAGTTCATATAATTCTCTCTATTCTCCTCTGGATGCATCATGTTTATCATTTCTTAAAACGAACATATTCTATTACATTCATGTACCACAATTTGTTTCACCATGAATATTTTAGTATATATGGAGCCTTTCTTTTTTGCCAGTGACCTCCTTGGTGGCACATATCCAGTAGCAGAATCTCTGGGTTGAAGGATTCAGTAGAGTTTGTTTTAAACTAAAGGGGTTCCGAGCTCTAGGCCTTGTGTTCATCTATCTGGAGAATCGCTTGCCTGGTGGGGGTGTTCAAACACTTTTCCACATGCAGGTGTGCTCTGCATACACACACACACACACACACACACACACATTCACATTGACCACATTATACTCATCTGATCTGCCTTTTGTTTGCTAACTTGCAATAATCTGAGTAACATTTGACTGAAACATTTTTAAAGCGACCATCTATCTAGGGTGACAGGATATGTGGGTCTAGAAGTGAGCCTTGACCCTTGCTGACCACCTCCTATTTCTTATAGCTGTGCGATTCTGTGACCGGTGCCATCTGATCAAGCCTGATCGCTGCCACCACTGCTCTGTCTGCGCCATGTGAGTGACAAGAATATTTGCCAAGTACTAAGCTTGCCCACTGCTAGTTGCCTAGGCAACAAGAAGACTGGTCTTTACATGTGACCATGCCAGGGCATCTCCCTGGAATCAGAGATGTCCAAGCTAAAAATGCCCTCATGAAGACAATGCTTTAGACCAGGGTTCTTAACCTGGGGGCCATGAACTTATTGTTATTTTTATATTTTGGTGACTATATTTCAAGGTAATCAATTTCCTTTGTAATCCTATGTTTTTTATATTATTGTATGCATTTAAAAACACGATTCTGGGAAGGGGGCCATAGGCTTCCCCGGACTGCCGGAGGGGTTCATGACACTACAAAGGTGAAGAATCTCTGCTTTTGGACAGAAAAGAGAAACAGGGCCCCATTGGGATGGGAGAGGAAGGGGGAAGTGGGGAAGCGGGGAAGCGGGGAAGCAAGACCCAGGGGGTGGGGGTGAAGAACAAAGAGAATTCTAGTGCACGTCCTTTCAATCTCTTGTTTTCCCTGGGTGAGTTGCTTTGCCTGGATTCTCTTCACCTGTGAAACCCTTTTGGGATTATCCCAGGCTTTGTCTGTGCCGTCAATTTGGAAAGGAGAGGTATGGATAGTGTGGGGGCAGGGGCAAGGAGAATGACAGAGGAAAAGATGGAGCAGCAAGAAGACAGTGTACGGAAGGAAGGAAGCTCCCCTAGGCCTTGACTCTCTTGTTGGCCCCTTCAAAAGGCTGTTTCAAGGCCAGTTATTCGGTGTCAACCTGATCCCATGATCTGATCAATCGCATCCTTGAAAGAGCCAAGGACTCATTCCAGGGTAGTGTAGGGGGCGTGTGTTGGGGAAGAGGTATGGACAGTGTCTCAGGAATGGATCTCTGGGACAGGGCAGATGCAGTGGCATCTCCTTCCCCAAATGATGCCTCACATAGCATAGCCCAGCTACAGAATCACCCTTCTGTGGTAATGATATTAATAATATGTCAGCACGTTGGAGAGCCTTGATTTTGTCAGTGTGGGAAACTCCCTCTTTATCAACTCCTTCCAGCAACGCAAATCTGTCTGTGACACAGTAGATAAGTCACCAGAGGCACATAGAGGTGACGTGCCTTGCCCACTATCTGTCATATAGTTATTAAGTTCTAGAGGTGAAAATTGAACCAAGGTCCTCCTGACTCCAAGCCCAGCATTTGCTCTGCGTTTTCTAGTGATGGCAAGAGCAGTAGCTGAAATTCGTAACGTGTTGCAAAGAAGTGTTTCTTTATTAGCATCTTCTGACTCTGTCCTACTGTGTTTCGTCTCTTGTAGGTGTGTCTTGAAAATGGACCATCACTGTCCTTGGTACGTGCTCCTGATTGCCTTCTTACCTCCAAAGGGTCAAAGTTGCTTATGTGTCACTCTTCTCCACCTCAGTGGCTTCTGCCCCCGTACTTTCATTGGTCTTTTGGGGGACACCGTCCAATTCGGAGCCCGAATGAATAGGTGTAGTTCTGCCCATGCATTCCTGAAGCCACAGAGTACATAGATCCCTTCCTGTTCACTGCCTTTAACAAGTGGCTGCATAGTTAACATGAGTTCAGTTCTCTTCCACATTTCAAATCTGTTTCTAGCTGTCCTGATGAGTGGAATCCTCTGGCCCAGTATTCTTCCTTTCAGCTGCCCTCTTCCCAGTCTGGTTTGGCAGACGTGGGGGGGGGGGGGTTTCAGATTGGATTATCTCACCATGGGCTAAAACAACGCCCCCCACTCTCCAGCTCTGCACAGCTGCCTAGGCCATAGTGGATTCCCAACAGCATGTTTACTTGGTAGGCAGGGCATGGATTTCTGGGGCTGCAGATGGAAGCAGAAATGAGGATGAAACTTGAACTTGGTTTCTTTCTGGTCACAGAAAAGCTCTGCAGGCCTCCCACATGGCCCATAATGAAGCAGCTGGGGAGGCTCGCTTCCCGTGTTTTGTCTGTTTCTGTAACCCCACGTTCTCAATTCTGGATTCCTTTGTGTTTTTTAGGGTGAATAACTGCATTGGATTTTCCAACTACAAATTCTTCCTTCAGTTCTTGGCCTACTCTGTTCTCTACTGCCTCTACATTGCTGCCACTGTTTTCCAATATTTCATCAAGTATTGGGTGGTAAGTTCAGGAATCCTGAAGGGTTTATTCCCTCATTTACCAACACCCTCACCCATCCCTATCTATGAAAAGTTTACATATGCCCATCTTGCTCTGTGTTTTAGAAAGTGAACACTTTATATTGAGGGGAAATGGATTTATATGGAAAGGTAGAGTTTAAATAACTAGAGGATAGGGACTGCACCTGGGATTTCATTGGTTAAGGAGAACTCCCATATGTGGAAACTCCCTCCATCAATGTAGGTTATCACCTTCTCCTCAACTTAGAATCCTAAAGAGTTACCTAGAGCACTGAGAGGTGATTTAGACAACTTAGATGAACTGATGCAAAGTGCAGTGAGAAGAACCGGGAGATCATTGCGCACGGAGACAGCCATGTTGTATGATGATCAGCTGAGAAAGACTTAGCTCCTCTGATCCAGGCAGTGATCTAAGACAATTCTGAAGGAGCCGTGATGAAAAATGTTATCCACCTCCAGACAGAGAGCTGATGAACTCTGAATACTGACGAAAGCAGACTTTTTTTCACTTTCTTTGTTTCTTGCTCTTTATTGTTGTCATCGTTTTTGCAACATGGCTAATATAGAAATGGGTTTTGCATGATTTCACATGTATAATTGATATCGTCTTGCTTGCCTTCTCAATATATGGGAGAGAGGTAGGAGGGAGGGACACAATTTGGAACTCCAAAAAATTTTTTTTTGTTTTTTTTTTTGTTTGTTTTTTTTTTTGTTGTTGTTGTTTTTTGGCTAGGAAGTGGGGTTAAGTGACTTGCCCAGGGTCACACAGCTAGTAAGTGTTATGTGTCTGAGCTCGGATTTGAACTCAGGGCTTCCTGAATCCAGGGCCGGTGCTCCATCCACTGCACCACCTAGCTGCCCCACAAAAAAAATTTTTTATGAATGTTAAAAGAGGTGACCTACCCAGAGTCACAAAACTATATGCAGAATGTGAACTCATGTCCCTGGCTTGGATACCAGCTCTCCGGCCCCTTTCATTATAGCCTGTTTCACTAAGTCTTGAGGATCTTACCATTGATATGGCTCTTAACCACTTGACCTTGCAGCACCTGACATGCACATCGCTTACCAAGACCACTCTTACAGAACACAGAATATGAAAAAAATGAAACTCAAGTCAAGTTTTCTACAGAAAAGGCTACCTGCCATCCCCCAGGCCCACTCCCTATTTACCAGAGAGTTGCGGTGTTCCCACTTAGCATGACCATGCGCTGAAATCCCTAGAGCTGACAGGCCTAAAGTTGAGAGCCTGCGTGTGCAGCAAGAGCTGGGCTGGGCTGGGGGTCAAGAGGCCTGCATCTTTCTCCTTCTGGCTGTGCCTCATCTTAGGGAAGTCACTTCCTCTCTCCATAAAGTGAGGCCTGCCAAGTCTCCTTGCCTCACCATCATGTTACAAAGACCAAGTGTAGGAATGCATGGGCTGGTACTTTCCAGCATTAGAATGTGCTCAACAAATATGATTTTGGCCATGTCCCCACAACACGCCTACATCCCTTTGTTTTCTCATCTTTTACTTGTGTGAACGAGGCCTGATGGCAGTGGAATAAGAATGGGGAGGGGGGAGAGCCCTGAACAACAAGTCAAGAGAGATGCACACTAGCTTCGTGACTGTGGGCAAATCACTCGCTTTCCTGCCATGAGCCTCAGTTTCCTCATCTGCAAAACAGGGATGTTATCTACCTTTCATGGTTGTTTTATGGGAAGCTCTTTGTAAACTTTAAAGTGCTAGATTAATGTGAGTTTTTGTTATTAACGGTAATAATAATGGAGAAACAGTAGTGGAAATAGCTCTGCCACTTACTATCCTCATGACCTTCATGAGAGGGCAAGTCAGTTGCCCTCTCTGAGCCTCAGTTTCCCCATCTGTAAAATGAGGACATTGGACTAGATTAGGGGTTGGCAGACTACAGTTTATAGGCCAAATCCAACCTACTGCCAGCAAGCCCAAAAATGGTTTTTACATTTTAAAATAAAGTGCCATACAAAAACAGGCAGAGGATTTGGCCTGGCAGGCCATGGTTTGCTGACCCCTGGACTACATGGCCCTTCAGTGCCATGTTCCTCCAAGTTCACATTTACATCTTGCTTTAAGGCTCACGAAGTACTTTCCTTGCCATGACCCTGTGAGGTAGGCAGTGCAAGTATGTTCATCCCCATTGTGCAGAGGAGGAAATCAAGGCTTGGAGAAGGGCATGACTTATCCACGGTCACTATAGCCCAGGAAGTGACTGAGCCAAGCCTTGAAGGCAGGTTTATGGAGCCCACCCCATGCCGTGTTCTCCACCATTTGGGAACCCGGAAGAAATGCCTCCCTCTGGCCTTGGGTGGCAGTTTTGCCTAGCGTTGTCAGCTCCTTCTCTGCCAGCCTCCCACACTGAGCCCTAGTATCGGAGCCCAGAAGTGTGGCCAGGGCTGCCAGTTACCAGTTCTTGGAGAGTTTTCTTTTTGGGGCCAAGAGTCTTCGTCTGTGACGAGGCTCCTGTAGGAGAGGTTGAGTGAAGCCTCTGGACAGAATGTAGCTCCCAATGGGCCAGAGAAGAAAGGGCCCAGGGCTTCCATTGTTGAGAATACTGAAATTATTCATTAGAAAATTGGAGGAGAACCAGTTCCCTCTCCTCCTCTGAATCTGTTGTTGCCGAGTCAAAGCTTGGACCTCAGCTACTGAATCAGGTCACGAATCCAGCCGGCCCCAGGGGCTGATAAAGCAGGTGAATCATGGCTTCCGCGGGGCGATGAAGAACGTTAGCAGAAGAGAAGTTTTGTCATGACCCCCTGCTAGTGCGCACCGCTGGTGTGCCTGCACGCTGGGCATCTTGGCAGGGAAGCTTCAGCTCCCCCTCGGGCCCTTCCCCCAGCCCTGAATTCCTTATCTGTTGCTCCATCTTCTATTACATGTTTGGCATTCAGGCCACATGCCACGGCTCCTACTTCAGAGAAAACCACGGGGAGGGGGCCAAAAAGCCACCTTCTCCAATCAGCCAGGAACAAGCTGGTCTTTACAGTCTGTACTCCTGACCTGGCTTCATCAACTGAGCAGCAGAGATCCTGTGGAAGGCCCAGCCTTCTCTCTGCACCACCATCAGCATGCTTTCCCCCACCCAAACACGGCCTCTCCACCGCCATTTGAGGTCCCCTCCTTGAGTAATGAACTTTGAAATAGCTCTTCAAAAGGGAGCTATGCCTGATGGGAGTCCTATCCAAATCTGGGTCCTCTGGCTACATGGCTAGTGAATCTCAGCTGAAGAACCCTGTCCTAGCTATAACATCAAGGTTGTTGAGAGCTCAGGAAAGTGTGGTTTGTTTCCAGTACCCACCAAACGTGCAACTGTACTGAGCAGAAGATGGCCCAGCGTCCTTTAGGCTGTGTAGGCACCCACCTGATGGGTTTGTACTGTCTAAAGGCAGCTGTCCTATATACTGACTCATTCCGCTTTAGCTATAAAAAGCAACAGTCCAACACTTGTGGTGGCTTTCAAATTGAAGGCCATCACTGATAAGGAAGACATGTTCAAAGTTCTTTGTGCATTGCACATAGGTACATAGTGTTGGACAGATCCATTTTTAGAGCTGGAAGAGATCTTAGGACTCACATCAAAGATTCTAGAGTCACTGATGTAGAACTGAAAGGGGGTTAAAAGGGCATCACACCCAACCTCCTCATTTTACAGAGGAGGAAACTTAAGCCCAAAGGAAAATGACTTGCCCAGGGTCACACAATGAGGAAGTTAATAGCGGAGTCAAGATTTAGAGCCAGCTCCTCTTACTCCAAATGCAGCGCTCTTACCATTCCTGGGAAGCAACTCGCTCAAGGTCATACAGCTAGTCAGTAGCAGAGATGAGACTCCATGCCACTTCTGCACCACTTTATTAAGCTTTATAGACCAAAGTGGCCAAAAGGAGCTCTGGGTTTAAAGGACTCAGGAAGAATCTGAAGAGTTAGAGAGGGACTGCATGACCTTAGGATCCCCTCAGTTTCAAAGAGTCCAGGGTCTGCAGGCATTTCTTTTTGTTTAACTGGTAAATGCATCTTCATTACCCATATTATGCCTGAAGTCAGGATCCATCTTACCATTTATAGGTTGAAAACATTCACAGTGAGAAACAATCAGTAGAAATGTCACGTAAATAACAGGTGTAGTGTTGAGAGAGCGACAGAGAGAGAACAAGGAGAGAAAGAGAAAGTGAGAGAAAGGGGGAGGGAAGGAGGAAGAGAGTGAGAGAGAGAGAACAAGAGAACCACTTGGAGAAACATGCTCATTTGAATAAAGGACTACTTCTGCCCTCCAGGGAGCTCTGTGTGTGTTGTCGTGGGCACTCCCACACTCCCTCCAGTGAGGGCTTGTTGCCCCTCTTGGATCTGTAGACAGTCTTTGAGAGTGGCAGCAGCTAAAAGATTCCTCACCTGCAGCCACCCTGGCAAAGCCTCTCTGAACTCGGCTAGGCCAGTCTTCAAACAACAGCCCCAGGATCCAGTGCCAGGCCTACACTTGAAGCCTTTCCAGTTTGGTAGGGCCTGTCAGAACCTGAGTTCTGCTCATAAACTTTTGAGAGGCCACTTCCTCTGACACTGGAGGAAGACTAGAGTGAAAGAGAAAAAAGGGCTGCCTTCTCAATTTTTCACTCATAGGAGTAAATTATGAAGTCAAATTCAATTCTCTAGACACTTATTAAGTGCTGCCTCTTTGCAAGGCTTTGTCTCAGCAAGACCTTATGTAGGAGGTAGCTCTAGAGCTGAGCCTTAAAAAGAAGTGGAGATGACAAGAGTCAGAGGTGACGAGGGATGGCATTCCTAGAGCAGGAGGAATGGTAATGGAGCCTCCACAGACACAAAGGCTGGGAATGACGGTCACTTGGATTGGGGCATAGATTGCATGAGGAGGAATAATATGAAATCTCGAATTTGTTGTGCTTGACATATTTGTTGCAAAGGTTTTGTCTTCCTTTTTTTTAATGGTGGGAAGTGGAAGGGAAAGAAAATAAATTTTTATTCATTGAAAAATATGATAAAATATTTTAAAAAGATAAGTTAGGGCCAAATTATAAAGGATTTTCAGCACTATACATGGTCAGATCTGCATTTTAGGAATATCAATGGGACAGCTATGAAGAAGATGAGTTAGAGAAGAGAAAGGTTTGAGATAGGGAGACCATTTGAAAGGCTATTGTAGTAGTCGAGGCAAGGTGGCCCCAAACTAGGCCATAGGAGGGGAGAGAAGGGATGCAGGTGTGAAGGATGCTGTGGAAGTCAAATTGATAAGATTTGGCCACTGATTGGATACAAACAGTGGCTGGAGATCAGTGAAGGGTTTAGAGCTGAAGATGACTCCCATGTTGTGAATGTGGGTCATTCAAAGTTTGGTGATGCCCTCGATAGGCACAGGGAGATATGGAGGATTTCAAGGGAATGGACTGAGTTCTGTTTGGGAAACATTAAGTTGGGATGCTTATGGGCCAGCCAAATGGAGCTGTCCAGCAGGCAGGCAGTGATGTGGGACTAGAGCTCAGTAGAGAGGCTGGGGCTGGAAGATCTGGGAATCATCTGAACAGAGGTGATCATTGAATCCATGGGAACTGATGAGATCACCAAGAGAGAGAGCTTCCTATCTATTGGGGAGATAATACAAACAGAAATAACTATGATATACAATGAACGTCAGTGCTTATAAGATGGAAACCAAGGGCTGCAGGATTTGAGGGACAGAGGATCATTAATGATTGGGGTGAGGGAGGTGTTAGGAAGGCATTAGGGAGTCAGTTAGAAAGACTTCCTGCCAAACTGACATTGAACCATTTTGACAAATAGAGTTAGAGTTTCCACCTCCTTGGGGCTCTTCACACAGAGGCTGGCTGACCACTTTCAGGTCTGTTACAATGGGAGTTACTATGGTGGATGGGTTGGACTAGATGTCCATAGAGGTCCCTTCCAGTGCTCAAATTCTATGATTCTGTGATCTATACCAGGCCTTGGAGGGGGAAGGATGTCACCAGAGATGGCAGGAGGGGCTGGGGGGAGGATTCCGGTTTCAAGCAGAGGGACAACAGCATGAACAAGTCCTGGGAAGAGCGAAGCTGAGGCTCACCAGTTTCATCTCTTTCTTTCTCTTCTCTTCTCTTCTCCCTTGTCTCTTTTGCACCCAGGGTGACCTGCCCAATACCCGCTCCAAGTTCCATGTCCTCTTCCTCCTCTTTGTGGCTTGCATGTTTTTCGTCAGCCTGATGATTCTCTTTGGGTACCATTGCTGGCTTCTCAGCAGAAACAAAACGACCTTGGGTAAGTTTGGCCAGTCCGGGAGGCTAGTGGAATCACCACTCAGGTTAGAGTATTCCAGTGGCCCATCAGAGCTTCCTAGGAACCCGAGACAATGGGGCCGTTTAGTTGATGTGTCATCACTCTGCTTTGCCACTGAGCCAGACCAAAGACAGCTTTAGTGAATGAAATCCATGAGAGAAAACCTGCTTGCAAATGGCCCTCACTCAGAAGGTTGCTGTTTATAGCTCATATAAGGTAACAGCCCCCCAGAGTTACCATCCAAAAGCCACCTGACAGGGGCATACACACCCAGTGAGCAAGGGGAAAAAGAGACAAAAGAGGAAGCCAGGCAAAAGATGTGCCAGAAGAATGAACGTTCAGAGAGAGCATTTCAGAGAGGGGAGAAGGAAGATTCAGAAAACCAGCCAACCCCATGTTTTAGTAGCATTTCTAGGCTAGAGACACTGTGAGGAAACATGAAAGCATCAAAGACATGGTCCCCACCCTCAAGGAGTTTACAATCAGGTTGCAAAGGCAGGATGTAAATCCATAAAAAGCTAAACAGCAAAATAATAAGGAAACCCAGTTTAATGAAGCAAGACACGTGTTGTTATAACAAGCCAGCCCCTGGTTCGTTGCCATGCAAAAGTTCCAGAAGAGATGCATAGAGGGATGTCCCAGGAGGGATCGAGTTGGAGCTGCATCTTGCCAGATGGGGTATAATCGAGAAGGGGGGAGAGGAGGCGGGGGAAGGCAATGAAGAGGCCTCTTTGGCTAGAACCAAGGGTTTGGGGAGTCGAGTGACTAGAGATAGCGCTTACAAAGAAGGGTGGAGGCCGGATTATAGAAGTCACTGGATGGCAATCCAAAGAGTTTGGACTCCATCCACTTGGCAGCTGGGGAGCGCTTAAACAGAGCAAGGAATAGACATATCCCAAGCCAGGCTCTACTGAGCTTAACGGCCGGTTTGTGCAGGCTGGATTGAAGGAGGGCAGGAACCAGCAGGGCCTTGAGTTGATTAGGACCTAACCTGGGCCTGTGGCAATGGAAATGGAAAAGGAAAGGGAAAGGGGAGAAATGAAAGATGATGCCCAAAACAATCAAGAAGACTCAGAGGTTGTTTAGATATGGTGGGGGAAGAAGAAAGAGGCTACTCGGATACTTCGAGCCCGCTGTCCGAGGGACGTAAGCTAACCCTTGTTCACCATTTTGTGGCATGTGGGGAGACAAAATGCACACATGCACACATATTCACACACGTTCATGCAGAATTAGCAACACAAAACAATTTGTAAGTCTATACCAGGGGTGGGGAACTTGTGGCCACATGTGGCCTTCTAGGTCCTCGGGTGCGGCCTTTTGACTGAGTCCAAGTTTTACAGAACAAATCCTTTTATGGAGGGGATTTGTTGTGTCAAGTTTGGATTCAGTCGAAGGGCCGCATTTGAGGCCATACATGGTCTTGAGGCCACAGGTTCCCCCCATCCTCGACTCTACACAAATGCCCAAGGGAGGATTGTGGAATGGTAGAAAGATCTGGAATCTGAGAATTTGAGTTCAGATCCTAGCTCTGACTTTGGACAAATCACTTCCCCTCCCTGAGCCTCAATTTCCATCTCTGTAAAACTAAGGGAGTAGACTATGATCTCTTAAGTCCTTTCCAGCTCTGACATTCCGAAATCCCTTCTCACTTTGATCATCTGTGTTCTAAACTTCTTCCTCGATTTGATAATCTGGATTTTTTGTTCTTAGGTCCCTTGGAGCTGTAACATTGGATTTTCTAAGATCCCTTCCACTTCTGACATTTTGCACGCCCAGGTCCTTCCCAGCCCTGACATTCTCTGAGGTCCCTCCCAGGCCTGACATTTCTCTGAGGTCCCTCCCAGCCCTGACATTCTCTGAGGTCCCTCCTGGCCCTGACATTCTTTGTTCCAAACATCATCCCTTCCTGCAGATTTTTCAGAAATGAAATCTACATTGTTACCACTATTTCAAATGTTATTATTATTTCTGCAGCAGCTCTAAAGATAGGCACTGTTTGGCTGTTGCCACTTGGATGATGAGAAAATGGTCTGAAATGTGTTTTTCCCTCCTTCCTTCTGGCGTGGAGAGGCGTGTTGGGCCCTGGCGGCCTGCTGAGATTTTGGTACTAATAACAATTCCTCCTGCTTCTCAAGCATTTTCTTCCCAACCATCCAGTGGGACAGGTAGTGTAAGTGTACAGGGAAGGAAAGTGAGGCTGCCCCATCAGTGAAGGGATTTGCTCATCCTCGCCCAGCTCAGAAATATCAGCATCGGGGCTTGAACCCGGGTGTTGAGGACCTGCTCTTATCTCTACACCAGCCTGTATTCTCTGTGGTAGTGTGATTGGTTCCAGTGCACAAAGTTGCCTTCGGTCTAACTTTGTATTGGGTGAAAATCTTACTAATTAAGGATGACCAGTCAGCATAATGAGAGCAAGAAGATGCTTCGGGCCAGTTGAATTCCCAAGGAGCTGCACAGTCGGTGGTTTTCTGAGTGGCTGGGGGCATCCCCTAATGCATCGTCCTTTGTTCCTTTCTCCCTGTTTCTCCACTCTACTAACCCACCCTAGAGGCCTTCTCGGCTCCGGTGTTTCTGAGTGGCCCGGACAAAAATGGCTTCAACCTTGGCTTCATCAAAAACTTCCAGCAAGTGTTTGGTGAGAACAAGAGGCTGTGGTTACTCCCCATTGGGTCCAGGTAAGTAAAGCACAGGGCCAAGTGAGAAGCCCCAGAAACACCAGCACATTTCCCTCAGCTCCCAGGCCCGATTGCACTACATGCACTGTTGCCTACAATGTTCTAGATGTTTCTACTGGTTTCCAAAAAACCCCAAGCAAGCAAAAGCAGAGGAGGGGTCAGAGGTTGGTTTGGGCCTCTGCAGACAGCAGAAGTCACCCCAGGAGAGTAGCAGAGTCACACCTTCCGTGAAAACAGATCAAACTAATGGTCACCAGCTCAGGACCGGAGCTTGTCTCTGATTTTCCTAAAGCTCCCCGGCCACACTAGAAGATAAGGAGGCGTAACTAGACCACGTGGTATTTTCAAATCTCAGTTCGAGCAGATAGGGAAAGTGGCTGAATTGGACAAGAACTCCGAGGCCATCGAGTCTAACCAGTAACACAATGGATCTGCTAAGTGGTCATCCTGTCTTTGCTCAGAGACTTCCAGTGAAAGGAAGCTTCTTGCCCTGCCCCTCCTCCCACCCAAGAAGGCCCATTCCACCCTGGCATACCTCACGTTGTTATCGAGCCTAAAGCTGCTTCTCGCCAGCTCTACCCAGAGCTCCTAGCTCTGCCCTCTGAAGGCAGTGGACAGCTCGCCACCCTGAGTCCCTTTGGCATATGATAGTTCTTCAACTATTTGAAGGCAGATAGAGTGCTCCCCTGAGTCTTGTCATTTCCAGGCTAAAGATTCCTAGTTCCCTCCACTGATCCTGAGGCCCTCCCCCTAGACATTCTCCAGCTCCAGCTTGTGTCCCTTCCAAAATGTGGTGCCTCCACCTGAACACCTCCCTGGTCCCAGGCCCTACATCTCTCCTTGTGCAGGCTAAGAGGATGTTCGCTTTCTTGGCTGCCATATTCAATTAAATTCAACATTCATATATTAAACAGCTACTCTGTGCCAGGCACTGTGCCAGACATGGGGAATACAAAGAGGAAAGGGAAACAAAACAATCCCCTCCATGATTGATGGTGATCACAGCTTGCCTTCTCAGTGGTGGGGAGGGGCTGGAGGGAGGGAGAGAATTTGGAACTCAAAATTAAAAAAAAAAATTCAATGTCAAGAGAACTGCCTGTACCCTCAAGGAGCTTGATTCTGCCTTCAGTTCTGTTGGGGGGGGGGGAGAGAACACAATGTGGACACAAGTAAGTCAATATGATATCGATATATAAAAATAACAAAGTAATTCCAAAAGGAAGAGAATGTTAACCCCTGGAGGGATGAGGCAAGGTCACATGTAGAAGGGAGAGAAATGTCTGGGGCTGGTGTGGAGCTAGCCACTGGCAGACTTATGTGGCTTGGCTGTAGAGGGCACAACCACGAGCTCTGGTGTTGAAAGGCAGCTTTGGGCTCAATAGGACAGAGCAGTCAGAGGTATCCCAAAGTGCAATGGGCCTTCTTGGGTGGGAGGGCATAGGGGAAGGCTTCCTCTTCTTGGAAGCTCTGAATGCAAAAGCACAGGGACAGGACATAGAGTATGTGAAGGAAACAAATGAAAAATAAGGTGGGAAAGGTAAGAGGAATCCACGCTGTTGACTTACATTGAGCTTACAGTCTATTATGACCCCCAGACTCTTTTTCAGATGATCTCCTTGTCAAACCATACTTCCCTCACCTTATACTTGTAAAGTTGATTAAGGCTTTTCCATTTGTCCTAATTACATGTCCTGTTATCAGATCTGACTCAGTGAACTAGCCTTTTAAGGCCTTTTTGGATCTTGATTCTGTCATCTGGAGGGTTAGTGAAACCTCCCAGCTTGATGTCACCCACAAATTTCATAAGCATGCCATCCATGCCTTGATCTAAATCATTGATCAAACTATAAAACAACACAGGGCCAAGCACAGATCCCTGAGGAACTCCACTGGAAACCATTAATGATTGCTCTTTGGGGTGAGCCATTTGGCCAATTCAAAAGTCAACTGATTGTATTTTGCCTGGTCCATATCTCTCCATCTTGTCCACAAGAACAGACTTTACCAAATGCTTTGCCACAATCTAGCTCAGTTAGCAGCAGCATGCCACATATTGTGGTAATCTAATAACCCTGTTGAAAATGTTGCCACTACTTCCTCTGCCTCCGTGGCCTTCCCCACATAAGAGATGGTTTGGTTTGGTTTTTCAAAGGCCATGCTATTTCTTAAAAAACCACTGGAGTTCCTGCTGGTCTAACTATAAAGAGTGACCCATAGCCCTGTAAAGCCAGTAAAGAGGCTTACCGCCTAGAGCCAGAACTTTGTTTTTCCCATCTCCACCTAGGTGGAAAGTTGGAATCCTACAAAGTAAACACTGACCATGCGCACCCCCCAATCCCTCCGCATCCTGCCAGAGGCAATAGGTTTGTTTTTTCCGTGTGTTACCATGGATAGAGCGGTCAACTTTCAGGTTTCCACATGATGGGTAGAGAGAGGGGTGTGGGTATTATCAAACTATGAGTGGTCCCGAAGTCACCCCCGCTTCACTTTGCAGGGCAGTCATAGAGAAATGGCCAGCCTCTCTGGAGCGAGGGCCAGCCCCAAGCCCTTCTCGGCTCAGCCATGCCCTGAGAGGCCTGGGAGATGAGCCCAGGGCACCATGGACAACTTATTGCTCTTGGAGGCCTTGCCCCTCAGAGTTTGAATTGCAGTGACTGCCTCAGCTCCCATTTTGGCTTCCAGTGCCTATGGCCTTGCTTACTTGTAAACTAGATAGAGCCTGGAGGATGCAACATGACCAGCAATTTCTTTCTATCACGAAGCCACAGCTGCTGTCTACTCTCTGAAAGGATCCATTGCCTATTGACCTTTCTCAAGAATTAAGAATCAAAGCAATAAGACAGAGGGGATATGAATGGGTGTTGTCACCAAATGTTATTTAAGCACGTGCATGTTGCCATGCTAGCTGCCATCTAATGCAAGTTAAGCAAGCTTTCAGTCCAGAATAGCCAACATTGATTCAGCTGCCCCTGGGACATTTAACAGGAAGACTGTACCACAAAGGTCTGCTGCCTGGTCTGCCACAATTCCAGCCAGTAGGCCTAGATTTTTTTTTCCTAGAGATTCTCTAACCTTTTCCTAAGTGAGTTTCTCCTTTCAAAGGAGCTCAGTCATCTTCAGGTGCTCACGATCTGCGTCTCTCATGCAGCCCAGGTGATGGACATTCCTTCCCGATGAGGTCCATGAACGAATCCCAGAATCCCCTGCTGGCCAACGAAGAGCACTGGGAGGACAATGAGGAGGATGCTCGGGGTAAGTGAGCACAGAAGGGTATCTGCTTGGGGCTGTTCAGCTGACCAGAAAGGTAGAGCTGCGGCCTGACCCTGTGGCCACGGCTGGCACAAGGCCCTGGCATGACAAGCTTCTGTCCATAAAGGAGCCTGTACCAGCCAAGGATACTGCACACACAGGTTAGTGTCACAATCAGAGGTGGCCTAGCAGCTTGGGAGGGCCTGCCTGGCAGCTTGGGAGGGCCTCCCCAGCCTTGTGCTGAGATGACTTCAGATCAGATCAGTGAGAATGATGAATGAGCAAAGCCATCTTTCCCAGGGGCTCACACTTCATAATGACTCAAAAGTTGAAAGAGAAATGGAAGAGCGACAAACCCAACCCTGTAGCCAGACGGCAGAACTGGGCAGATTGGGTGAAAGGGACAAAGAGGCAGATCTTAAGTCCCTAATAATAAGTGCCATTCCAACGTAGAACGGGCTGTATCCAGAGATCTTCAGGCGAAGGCCGGATGGCCACTTGGTGGGAATTCTGTAGAGGAGATTCTTAGCTAAATGGTAGACTCAGGAACACTTCCAACTCTGAAATTCCTCTTCTAAAAACCTCCCCCAAACCCTCTAACCCTGGGAGCTACTTGCCATTTGTCACCACCCTTTACTTACCATGCTCGCTGCCTCAGCTCCCTCCAATCCACCACTCTTCAGTGACCTCCACATGGCTAGATCCAGGGGCTTTTTCTCAGGCCTCATCCTCTGACCTCTTGGCAGCATTCAACGCTCACCCACTCACCCTTTGTGCTGCTCTTTGCCCTTGTTGGCTTCTTTGATTGCTGCACTCTCCCACACTTCTTTTATTCCTTCCTCCTCCTATCTAAGGGTCGGCATTTCCCAAGACTGCCCTGGGCCTCGCATCTCTTTCTGCACTCATTCACTGTTGGCTACATTGACGTCTCCAAGGTTCACTCTCTCTGTCGAGCTCAATACTCGTTTCTCCTATACTCTGCTGGGTAGAGGTCTTCCTTTCTAATCCTTCATGGCTCTGAAAGCTTTCCGTGTCCCTATTGTCCTTTTGTTACTATTTGAGTGGATCCCAAAATAGTTTTCATTCACCACTTCCTGTTTCTTCCCAATCAGTTTCTGGACTCCTTGGCCATGGTCATTTGCCCAAGATTCCATGTCCTAGCAAAGCTATGGCTGATAACCCTAGGCAGCAGCTCTCAAGGCTGCCAGCTTTAGTGAAGACATTGCCCAAGGCTCTTGCCATAGGTTAATGGAAGTTTTCATTTGAGAGGGCCAAACTCTCTTAACCACACCGATGATTGAGTAATGATATTAGCAGGCTTCAGAGGTGCGTAAGGAGAAAACAAATACAATCCACCTGTGGGGAAACAGGCAATGTGCTTGGCACGATCTTTCCCAAGGAGCTCGAAGAGTGTTGTTTTCACATTGACGCAAGGAAATCATTTCAAGTGGTCCATAAAACTCAGGTTGGGGAAATAGCTGCACCTCCCAAAGAGAAGGCCAAAGTGAACTCCCTGTCGCCAGATCTGATGAGTGGCCTTTGGCTGGGAGCGTTGACTTTGGTCTGCCTTTCCCTAGACCACAGTGCACGGCAAAACGTCTGTGTCCCAAGTGATCTTGAGAGCCACCAAGAAGGGAAACCTGAGTTCTCTGCCCCTGTGTCACAGTGAGCAAAAATCACTCTGTGTCTCTGGGCCCCCAGTTTGTTCATCCATTAAATGAGGGGGGGGGGGGGTCAGCTGAAATGGCCTTGAAGGCCTGTTCTAGCTCTAGGTCTCCAGTCCAAGGCTTGGAGGATTCAGTCTCCTCTGTTTAGGGCTCCTGGACGCTTGTCTACAAAACTGCTTATGTGAAGCCACATCATACTGAAAGGCAACAGAGTGCAAAGGGCATTGCCTTTAGAACCAAAAGACCTGGGTTCAAATCCTGCCTGTGCTCCATATTACTCATAAGACCTTTGACATCCCTGGGCCTGTTTCCACATCTGCAAAATGATCTCTAAGGACAGTGCCTGGTACATAGTAGGTGCTTAATAAATGTGTGCTGATTGACTAATTCCAGCAGTAAAACCACCTGTGATCATAATCTTGACCCTGATGAAAAACTATTCTAGCATCTCATCCACAGGCAGTGATGTAGTTGAGCTGTGCCAAAGGCAGGCTCATGGCAACTATATTTTCAAAATATCTTCCTCTTCTTCCCCTCTCCCCAACCCCATTGGACTTTTCAGGAAAAATTCCCAAGTTCACGTGCACTAGAAATGTCCAACAAAGATGGAATTCAGTATTGCCTTTGTTTAACCACCAGCACATGGCAAGGTCTAACCATGTGACCATAGTCCAATGGGACCTGTAATCAGGATTGTCTAGTAAAGAATGCATCAATGAATCCCTCATCTCAGCAAGGGAACTCTCTGCCACTGCATATCACAATTCTTCTTGGTTCAGGACAATCCTTGCCCATCCATCGGTACCTCAAAGGCCCTTGACTTTTTTCAATGTGAGCACTTCCACCACCAATGCTGATCACTGCACATGTAAAAACATAGGGTCTTAAGGAATCACCTGAGACTCAGGGAGATTAAAGTGACTTACCCAAGGTCACACAGCTAGTAAGTGTTAGAAGTGGGATTTGGACCCAGGTCTTTCTGACTCCAAGGCCAGCACTCAATCCCCTGTGCCACATTTCCTTTCTCACCTTCCACAAATGCTCCACAAAGGATTTCCCCACCATGTGTTGGGTGGGTCTTCCCCTGGGTCTTTGGATATTTCCCAGATATCAGTCCACCCATCTGTTGTCTCTTACTCTTGTTACATGGCCATCATCCTTGATATCTTCTACTCCACTTCTCGCATGCATGTTCATTGGACATGTGCCCATTATTTGAGGACAATCTGATGAGAGTTCTTCAGTTTGGAGTCAGAATAAGGGTGAGGAGGAGAATAAGAGTCTATGTACCAGATAACAAGGTTCTTTCAAGATTTGGGGAAAGGGACCATTCAGCACACTCACCACAAACACTGAATCATTTAATGAAGATAATAAAGAAAGGATATGCAAATCTCTGTGCCCCAGGAGCCCTGGGCCCCAGAATGCCTGCCTCTAGAGCATCCAGGAGTCTCATCCGAAGGTGGGGGAGGATTCTGGGCTGTTAGGGCTAGGGCCCGGGTTTGGAAGTGAATGACTAGCTCCCAGGAAGGCAGCATCAGCTGGTCCAGGCCTCTTCTTGTAGTCGTGATTGGCCAATCTGCAAGGAGCCTCCTGATCACTCTGCACTAAATCTCTGCCCTGCCCATTCGTCAGTCCCTAGGCCATTAAGCAGATGTCACTCCAGGTCAGAACATCAGAGATCCAGGACCAGATCTTGGCCAGCTCCCTCATTTTACAGAGGAGGAAACTGAAGCCTAGGGAGGTAAAGGGACTTGCCCAAGATCACAGGTGGGATTTGAAGCCAGGTCCTCTGCCTCCTTTCCACCACATGACCTCCTTTCCCATTTCTCCAGAGAGACTCATGCATGAACCAATAGGCTTCTCTTTTATTTTTTTTTAATTTTTTTTAATTTTTTTTTTTTAGTTAGTTGGGGTTAAGTGACTTGCCCAGGGTCACACAGCTAGTAAGTGTCAAGTGTTTGGTCTGAGGCCGGATTTGAACTTGGGTCCTCCTGACTTCAGGGCCGATGCTCTATCCACTGCGCCACCTAGCTGCCCCTCAATAGGCTTTTCTACTGCTGGATAATAGGATATATATGAACATAATAGAACATGGGACACATCTATACAAGATATATGAGAATAAAACATCAGGGCAGCTAGCTCCATAACAGGCTATAATGGGATATGGAAATCAGCTGTTCCCAGATAACAGGATGTGGTAGAAAAGCCAATCTGCTGTATGTGGTCCCAAACAAAGATTTCCCAGCACTTCCTGACCAGGCCTAAGGCCTATAAAGTCCCTCATTACACGTGACTTCACTAACAAGATGGTGTCCAAACCTTGTTATGCAGCACGGACGGCCCGACCGCACAAAGTCGGAGCCTGTGAACATGATCGTCTTAAACATCCCCGTCCCCTGCTTTGCCCTCAGTTCGCCAGCTGTGATGAGTAGAACAAGAAAGACAGTAAAGGATCATGATAGAAAATAAATGAGCTTCCACTAGCTGTCCAGGAGGGCTCTCAGCTCCAGCTGGGGAGACAGAAAAAGGGCCTTTAATTTACTTGCGTAAATTTGTCCAGTGTCTCAGAAAGGGAACTATTTTTCTTATCTAGTGAAATCTTGGTAAATTCAAAACAAACTCTTCAGCCTCGATTTCTTCCTCTGTAAAATGAAGGATTAGCCCAACTAGCTCAACATCTATGAGCCTGTGATTGCCAGCATAGCTTTCTGGTGGGAAGGATATAAGGAGAGGCAATGTGGTACAGTAGAAGGAAGGATGAATTTGGAGTCAGAAGAACTGAGTTCAAATGCTACTTCTGCCCCATACCACCTGTGTGGTTTTGAGCAAAAGTCACTTCACCTTCCCTGGGCCCCAGCTATTCATCTGTAAAATGAGAGAGTTGGACTAGAATCATGGCTTCTTAAACTTTTTCCACTCACCACCCTTTCAGCGCTTCTTAAACTATGGCCATGACCTAGAAGGACCTTGAAGGCCCAGCTCCACTCTAGATCTTGCCTCTTGGCTGTCCAGGGCTCCTCTGCTTAGGGCTCTGGGATGCATGACTGCGTCATGCTAAAGGACAGTATAGGTTGGATTGGAAAACAGAAGACTTGGGTTAGAATCCCAGCTCAACCACTTCCTATCTCCGGGGCACTGGGCAAATCACTTCCCTCTCTGGGCTTCTTCACCCTCCCCTTTGTTCTGCCCTAATTATGCCAATTGTAGGGTGGCATGCCCTCTGAGAGAATATTGAGATACCAAAGAAAGAGGAGCTCATACCCACTTGGTTATTGATAGGTTTGATTAGGCTTAATTAGGTCTATCAGGTTGTTTGAGAGTTTATTCACA